CAGCAGCACTACCACGACTACAAAAGGTTTGATCAGGCGACCCTGCACAATGGCCAAATGTCCTAAATGATAGTGGAAAGTGTGCACTAGTAACAAGAGGACCAATACAAGAAACAGATATAGTCTTTCCGCAGAATACTGAAAAAACTTCACGTAGATTTACAAAGGAAAACTACGAAAGAGTCATGAAAAATGGGGAAAAGATATATCGAACATGGCTTCTGTATTCAGTTAATACAGACTCAGTCTCAGGGCCGTGTGAAGTAGGGGTGCTGAGGGTGCTGCAGCACCCCCTGATGGAGGACAGGGAATCTGCACGTCCACAAGATTAAATGGAAATATAATTTAAAAAAAACGAATTTTCAGCCCTGATGTAACAACATTCATAATTAAGTAAAGATAACACCCTTTTCATCCCGGTTACAGTTTCCATTTGCCCTGTACGATGAAAGTGGGGGATGTTGGCTTATCAGGCGCCCGCAGCTCACACCAGTGCATGACATTAAGGATTTTGGGAGCAATTAGCTTAGATGGCCCTGAGCCCAATAGAGATTGCCCTGAAAAGCAAGCAAATCTAAATCTCTTTGGTCAAAATGTCCGGTCAAAAATAATTTCCCTTTAGCGCAATACNGNACTTGCGTTTGTCCATATCGATCAGATCTAGCTAATGATATGACTACCTAACCCGGTTGCATAGCGACGCTTATTGTTTAGGTGCCTTTTAATAAGCAGGTAGTCATATCATTAGCTAGATCTGATCGATATGGACAAACGCAAGTNCTGATGGAGGACAGGGAATCTGCACGTCCACAAGATTAAATGGAAATATAATAAAAAAAAAACGAATTTTCAGCCCTGATGTAACAACATTCATAATTATTAATTATGAATGTTGTTACATCAGGGCTGAAAATTCGTTTTTTTTTTATTATATTTCCATTTAATCTTGTGGACGTGCAGATTCCCTGTCCTCCATCAGGGGGTGCTGCAGCACCCTCAGCACCCCTACTTCCCACGGCCCTGTCAGCAGCAGCTGATCTCTCTCTCCCGTCAGATTAGAATTTACTTGCGTTTGTCCATATCGATCAGATCTAGCTAATGATATGACTACCTGCTTATTAAAAGGCACCTAAACAATAAGCGTCGCTATGCAACCGGGTTAGGCCACAAAGTATTATGCATTTGTTTACATGCCCACCAGAACCCCGAGGCATTACCAACAGATCAACGCACAATCAACCTATACAGGACATCTCTTTCTCCACATTAAAATTTACTATTTTTATCTGTCACATACTATTCTTGTCTGTCACATAAGTGGCGCAACTGATGCGGTATTGGGCTAAGGGGAAATTATTTTGACCGGACATTTTGACCGGAGACATTTAGATTTGCCGGTCTTCAGCATATTTTACCGGTCATAGTCCGGTAATTACCGGCTAACGGGAACTCTGCCCCACGCAGCACTCTCATCTGTTTGTCATTGCTGGTGTCATTTTCTGGTTGCTAACGCCATTGTAACACATAATCACTGATGTCCCGCTGTAACGGTGCTGTGATCTCATCAGAACAGAGTGGGCGAGCTGACCAATCATAGCACACTGGGCTCATAGGGAGGGGGGGGCAGGAGCTCCAACAAGCCGTTAAGGACAGCGAGTGAATACACATGCTGTACATAGATGCTGAGTTTGGAACATTGAACAATGTAAATCTATTCTAGTATGCCTCTACGATGGAATTATGATCAGTAGAAATGGCCATGACATGGGACCTTGAACTCAACACTATATTAATCAAAAGGAGAAATATAAACGTTACTTTTTTACTGAAATGATCAAATAAGGTCAACATTTCATAGTGTTTACTCAGATCAGTCAGCTGTGTGGGGTTACTTAAACTTTAACCTGTTAAGCAACATCTTGCAAGAAACAGCGTCTGAGGGCTTCTTAACAGTTAACAAACTATGAATGTGTCATACCCACTTAACAGGAAGAAACTCAGCTACCTGACAATAGGAACCATTTTTACCGAAACAAAACACAAGTCTAACGCTGAGCCTCTGAATGAGCACTAAGCGAAAGAGTGCTAACGCACTTAGCACATAACTCACGGTAGAAATATGTTCATCGGATCTGCACAAACAATATATCATATGAAAGCTGAGATTCCACAGATTCCAAAACTCGCGGCAGCAAAGGCGAAACTGTTGAGGCAGAATCTCTGCTTCGCGCGTTCCTCTATGAGTTTGTTTTAAAAGAAGGAAAAGTCAAAGCACCAGGATAAGGGTTAAACAATAATCTGCTTTAATGGTAGAAACATACAATACATCACCCAATCACCTAATCACCTAATCACGAAGCACTCTGCAGAGTACTCCGGGCTCAGGTTCTACCACCGTGTGAGACACGTCTCACGAACGGCCAGTCAAAAACAAGAGCGCCGATCTTCAAAATGATCACAACATTTATACACAGGTGGGGAGGAGTTTTATCGCTTGCTCTTCCCTAGCTATTTGTTATTGGCGAGTTCACTTCTGAGCGAGCTAGCCAGTGAGTTGGCAGTGTTCCATTGGTCGGTTTCACTTCTGGGCGGGACCCCAGGTAGTGGGTCAGCAGTTGTTGATTCCCCATCTGTTTCTTCTGTGCGCGTGTGTGTGTGTGTGTGTGTGTGTGTGTGTGTGTGTGATCATTTTGCATGCAAATGTTTGTCTTGCATGATTCTCATTATCTGATCAGATTCATTGATTGCGTTACTAAAATGAGGACAGTGTTGAAAATGGACTCTTTTGAAACATCCTATTCCTGTGTTCCTACATTGATGTTTTAAGCGGTAGTCAGTAATATGGAAGGGTCTCACACGTTTATCTCACTGGTTGTTTTTGTCTCGTACTGCCGCTCCGAAGGCGCCGTCACCGGACTTATGGGTAAGCAGAGCGGAGAAATCCTATTGGGCAGTAGTATGAACTTTAGAAACACTTAAGTTTTCTGCAAATTAAAACTTAAATTCAGTTTCTAGTGACACACAACTCTGCCCACAAATGTGCTCTATTTATTATTCTATCATCATGAAAAGCAAAGGTCTGCAGATGAAGAAATAACGCTTCAACCTTTCTCCTCAAAACCTCCTTCCTGTCCTTTACGATACCCCCACCACCCGGGTCTTTTCCTTTATCAAACCCTTTTAAAACCCAACGCTCCGACTCCCATCCTCTTCCACAATACCCCACGACCCCCTGACCGTTTATAGCATGACGAGCCAGCTGTAGAGCCCCAGCCAGCTGTAGAGCCCCAGCACGATGACCACAGACACCCAGAAGAAACTCACGGAGGATGGGAAGACGTAGGAACCGCCCAGAGCTTCACCCCTGCAGAACCTGTGCAAGAGAGCTGGGGAGACGCTGGAGTCCCTCAGACGCACACCAAACCCAACTGGGGAGATGCTGGAGTCCTTCAGACACACACTGAACCCAACTGGGGAGACGCTGGAGTCCCCGATGTGAAGGAGAGCTGGGGAGACGCTGGAGTCCCTCAGACGCACACCAAACCCAACTGGGGAGGCGCTGGAGTCCCCGATGTGCAGGAGAGCTGGGGAGATGCTGGAGTCCTTCAGACACACACCGAACCCAACTGGGGAGATGCTGGGGTCCCCGATGTGAAGAAGAGCTGGGGAGACGCTGGAGCCCCTCAGACGTACACCGAGCCAAACTGGGACAACGATGGTGCCAAAGCGGTGCAGGGGGGCTGGGGAGAAGAAGGAAAGGTAGGGTCAGGGGTCTTTAAAACACCACAGCTTAAAGCCTGGAAATCAAGGATCCCTCAAACACTAGAAGTCACAAAAACCCTTTCTTTACGGTTCACCTCTTTTTTCTGAGGCTCTTCTGCGACATGATACTTTATCCTCTTTAATAATGCACCTTTCTGTTATGTTCTGCTACAGAGCGCGGTGACCAATGGCTCGGACGGAGACCTCCCCCCAGGATTCATCTACAAGGTTAGATTACTGAATGCTCCATTGACTTGGATTATAAATGAATGCTGTGCACTTTAGAATGAGGTTGTGGGTGTTTCTGCTGCAGGTGAAAGCGGTGCATGAATATGCTGCCACTGACGGCGATGAGCTGGAGCTGAAGGTGGGAGACTCTGTGCTGGTTCTGGCCTTTGAAAACCCGGACGAACAGGTCAATAACAAACACTTTCTTCACTTCCACTTTATCTATTCCTACTTTTGCAACTACCGATCATGATGATGGCAACATTTAAACTTGTATACTTGTTAGTTCATTATTTATATTTGAAAGGAAGCTACTCTTAAGGACATTGCATAATAATCATTCCCAACTTTGTCACATACAGAATTGCGACAGTTTTAAATGTTGTGCATGACATTATGACCTGAAACACAAGTACTTGGTCATGTGTATGCATTACATCTTGTAGTTTTGGTTCAGGAAAAGACCGTTTTTTTGGGTCAAAACGTACAAAAAATCCATGTTTTGTTTTTCGGTGTTCCTGCAGGACGACGGCTGGCTCCTGGGTGTGCAGGAGACTCACTGGTTGCAGAAGAAAGATATTTCAATCAAAGGTGTTTTCCCTGAAAACTTTACTCAGAAGGTTTGAGGTTCATGCAGCAGAAGTACTTTGCCCCAAACCCTTCAGAATTATAGATAGAACTGAGTTGAAACGTCAGTAAATGTGCGTTTACACAGCAAAGTGTATCAGTACATGATTCCAAATATTCTCTGAAATACAAGCACATCTAGATGGCTACGGTCTCTCATGAAAACATAGATAACTTATTAACCCAACTCCCTTTTGGTCAATGAAGCGCAATCCTCTAAATTAATATAATTAATTATATTGTTTTAATTCCCTTTCCTGAATTATTTATGTGTTGAAATCAAACAAAACTCATGTCATGAATGTATTGAATGAATGTCAAAATGTTTTATGTATCATCATCGGGTTTTTGGAAAGAAATATGTTATGAGAAATGTTCACAGTTCCTTGCATGAAGCATTTGATTGTATTATCATTTATTTTTGTAACATTGTGATGACAGGTGGCTTTGCTGGAAGAAATGTGGCTCAGATTGAAAAAAAATGCAGATGACCCAACTCAGAGCCCTGGGGAACGCCACAGGTTTAAACAACATTATCAAAATCTATTACAGTTTCTTGTAGGACTTTCAAAAGGGAACATTAGTTTTTCATTTATTTTACCGGCCATTTTGAAGACATGACTTAAAGTGTGGCTTACATTTTCTAACAACTTTTATTTAGATTTTTGAATCATATTTACGTTGATGGATAAAACGGATAACCCCACGCAAACTGTATTTTTACATTGTGTGGGATTAACACATAAGGAATCAGTCCAAGTGGTTAATGTTGCACCATTTATTGGATCAAGTCAGTGTCATTAAAGATGAATAAAACAACGTGTGGTGTCTCAGTGTCTTGTGTTGTGTGCCTTTTGGGAAATGGACTGTATTTAAATATCTCTTTACATACTATGAGTCATTCTTCCATTCACACCTCATTCATGCAGAGCAGCACCACTTGCTGTAGGGAAGCTAACACTCACTCACTCACTCACTCACACACACACACACACACACACACACACACACACACACACACACACACACACACACACACACTACACAACACACACACTACACACACTACACACACAACTACGACGTAACGTAACGTAACGTAACGTAACGTAACGTAACGTAACGTACTACTATACTATACTACTACTATACTACTACGACTCACACACACACACACACACACACACACACACACACACACACACACACACACACACACACACACACACACACACACACCGTTGGTCATTGGGCTGGGATCGAACCAGACACAGTCACCCTGTAGTTGCCTTTTGCACATTTTTACACAACCACTTCTAAGTATGTATATCTTTTTTTGCATTTATTGTAGGTGTTCTTTTAAAAAATATATATATTTGCTCCTATTTCTCTATTTAATTCACACCAAAGACCTGAAGCTGTGAAGACCTACTTGGCAATAAACCAAATTCCTAGTAGATCTCCATGGAGACCCCCCTCCCCCTCCACCTAACAGAGATTTGGTGTTAATGAGTATCAGAGTCCTAGACACACACACACACACACACACACACACACACTAACTAAAACTATTCTCTGTTTACCTTGTTGCCCGTGACCTAAATGTGTGCAGGTCGGGGTTATACATTATCCAGGTGCCGGACAAGGGGTTATTGATGTGTGGCGGAGCGCGTTTGCATACTGATTTCCACGGCTGAATTATTGACTAAGGTTACTCCCAGTTTAAGGACAACAAAGCTGGTTACCATAGAGTTTGGAGGGAGTATAACTACCGGAGGAGTCTCAACTCCAACAAGCAGATTCCTCGAGCAGATCCTCAATCAGCAGCAGGAATTTCTAATCATGGTGAGCTTCTACAGTTTTACACATTTTAACGACATGCTTGTTGCTTTCTTGCTTGAATATAAAGTAGGAATCTGTCATTTAAAAGCTGTGTCGCAGATCATTTCATCCTAATTCTAATTTCTCCTCTCTTTGTTGTGCAGCGTGAATGTCTTTCAATCCATGTTGGTCAGGCCGGCGTGCAAATGGGTAATGCATGCTGGGAGCTCTACTGTCTGGAGCACGGCATCCAGCCGGACGGCCAGATGCCGAGCGACAAGACCATCGGGGGGGGAGACGACTCCTTCAACACCTTCTTCAGCGAGACTGGAGCTGGGAAACACGTTCCCAGAGCCGTGTTTGTGGACCTGGAGCCCACGGTCATCGGTACCATCATCAGATCCTCTTCTTGAGACTTTTAAAATACAAAAAGTAGGCCACCCCATCCATTTTTATGTTGAATTTCTTTCCATTTACAGATGAAGTCCGCACAGGAACCTACCGGCAGCTCTTCCACCCGGAGCAGCTGATCACTGGAAAGGAAGATGCAGCCAACAACTACGCCCGCGGGCACTACACCATCGGAAAGGAGATCATCGACCTGGTTCTGGACAGGACTCGTAAACTGGTGAGTTTTTAAGCAACTACTTCCTATTTGAGTTTATTCAAGTCAGTCACAGAGTCATGATGTTTTGTTTTCCTGCAGGCCGACCAGTGCACAGGGCTCCAGGGTTTCCTCATCTTCCACTCCTTCGGAGGGGGAACCGGCTCTGGCTTCACCTCCCTGCTGATGGAGCGTCTCTCCGTCGACTACGGGAAGAAGTCCAAGCTTGAGTTTGCCATCTATCCGGCTCCTCAAGTGTCCACGGCTGTGGTGGAGCCCTACAACTCCATCCTGACCACCCACACCACCCTGGAGCACTCTGACTGCGCCTTCATGGTGGACAACGAGGCCATCTACGACATCTGCCGCAGGAACCTGGACATCGAGCGGCCGACCTACACCAACCTCAACAGGCTGATCGGACAGATCGTCTCCTCCATCACCGCCTCCCTGCGCTTCGATGGCGCCTTGAACGTGGATCTGACGGAGTTCCAGACCAACCTGGTGCCCTACCCTCGAATCCACTTCCCTCTGGCCACCTACGCCCCGGTTATCTCCGCAGAGAAGGCCTACCACGAGCAGCTGTCAGTCGCAGAAATCACCAACGCCTGCTTCGAGCCCGCCAACCAGATGGTGAAATGTGACCCTCGCCACGGGAAATACATGGCCTGCTGTCTCCTGTACCGCGGAGACGTTGTTCCCAAAGAGGTGAACTCCGCCATCGCCACCATCAAAACCAAGCGCACCATCCAGTTTGTGGACTGGTGTCCCACTGGCTTCAAGGTGGGCATCAACTACCAGCCCCCCACCGTGGTTCCTGGAGGAGACCTGGCCAAGGTGCAGAGGGCGGTGTGCATGCTGAGCAACACCACCGCCATCGCAGAGGCCTGGGCGCGCCTGGACCACAAGTTCGACCTGATGTACGCCAAGAGGGCCTTCGTGCACTGGTACGTGGGAGAGGGGATGGAGGAGGGGGAGTTCTCCGAGGCCAGAGAGGACATGGCCGCCCTGGAGAAGGACTACGAGGAGGTGGGCACCGACAGCGTGGGAGACGAAGGAGAAGAAGGGGAGGAATACTAAGGTGTTAAACATCTTCAGTCAAGCCACAATTGTACTTCAAATGTCACAAAACTGTAACAGAATATAAAATAAAGCTAATATGGTAAGCATCTTTGTGTTTCATGTGTGCTACCAGAAAAGGTCATGTCTTTAACAATGAGAAGCCGAGCAGGAATGTTGCATCCCCCCCTTCCCCTTTTATATGTGCTGACGTTTAGTTTCTCACACCAGCTATTTGTTCTGCTGTCTCTGCTAAGATCAGCGGCCAACAGAGAGGGAAAAAGTAGACCTGAGAAAAGAGTAACTAGGGAGACTAAATGTTCTGGCAAACATGACTTGCCAGAAGGAAGTGGTTTGTTGTTACATCTCCAGGGTTACCTGCAGGCGCAGAGGTGAAACCAATACCAGCCATTTATCTGAAAACAATAGAGTACGTTTATATGAACACAATGGGTCTGATCACTAACTGGGACTTACTCAAGTGTTTCTCTCTCAATAAGGAAAATACCATCTCTGGGGTCTGAACAAAACAATGCATATTACATCATTTTAGGGTTAGCAGGTTTATAAGGCAATGTGATGAACAAATACCCATGCACCTGTTGAAGAAGTCACACTACTAGCACATCTCTGTAAGGACACACTTTGTTAACATCTAACTGTGAGTATTTCATTGCATGCATCCAGCTCCTTTCTATTTATTTGGTGTAGTAAAACCCATTGGAGCTCTCAAAAGTCAAATACTGCTCTAATGCAGAGGAAGTCTGTTACCTTTGCATTGCAGATGGATCTTAACCAAAGTGCTGATGCAACGGTGATCTGTAACAAAAGCCTGTTCAGGTCACCCAGGAGGTATTTGTTTTCTTACCTCTGCCAGATAAACACTGAGGCTCCAACATTTTAACAGAATATTAAATGTAAACACTGCTCCATGACAGAATGTCTTCATGCATGCAATATATTTTAGTTTGGTGAATGCAAGGTCCTATCCAACAGCAGGCAAAATGTTTGTTAAGATGTCCTTTATTTAGTTTGAACCCCCCTGCTCACTGCACAGCAGCAGAAGCGAGCAGGCCTTTCATTTAACATGTGTAATTGGAGGAGGGGGGGGTGCTGTTACGGGTCATATGTCAAAGCCTCTCTGCCATTGTCGCTGGCTACTCGTTTGTGTAAGAACAGCTGTTGTTCCTCCGATCCGAGCACAGCAGTTGATCTTTTTTTCGTGCTCCCCCTCCTCACCTTTCATCATGTTTGCGCTCATGCAGCGTCTCCAGTTACCACAACAGAAAGAGGCTGTTGCCAGGTTATGCCGTGCTATAAAGCCGCTTGGCTGCAGCGCTAACGTACACAACATCCCCAGCCACTCATCTCAGGTGAACGAGGGACTGCTACAAAGACAACATGGTGAGGACTTCTTTATTTTAAAGTTTAGGCAACACACCCGAAAAAACGTAACATGAGTTATACGGAATAATCCTCAGAAAGACACTGATAGTGGTGTGTGTTCGGCCACAATATCTAAAAGAGGCAGTGTGTGCAAAGTCATTGGGTTGCACGGTAGGACTCATTAATGCCGTAGAGGTATTGGGGAATTTTGTCAATGTTTCATCCACTTACAGGAAGTTAGACGCACTCTTTGTAGCTTTTAAAATGTTCCTGGTATCCGATTGGGACATACTGTTTGTTTAGTTTGGTATCTCTGGAGCGTGGCTTGGTTACTAGGTGTCAACAGCTCCTCTTTAGGGGAAATACCACTTAGCACTGGGATAAATTCACTTAATGACTTTGTTTGCTGAAGCTACCTTGGCTGGTTTAATTTTCTTCAGTTAAATAATGCATCTCATCCTCGTGTAGCTGACTTTAACGTAAGTGTGTTAATTCTCTTGCACTATTTTATCTGTTTACTTGTCTTATTTGTATAGGTCCTATATATATATTCATGTTGCATTGTTGGAGGTGACTTCAGTTTTTCATTACCATATCTACACTGTAGCTAATGTGTACTACAATAAAGCCTTGACGCTTGAATCTTAATGAGTTTTTATGGTATGCAGGAAGTTATTGACATCTGATCCACTTTCTCTCGCAGCGTGAATGCATCTCCGTCCACATTGGCCAAGCTGGAGCTCAGATAGGCAATGCATGCTGGGAGCTCTACTGTCTGGAGCACGGCATCCAGCCGGACGGTCAGATGCCGAGCGACAAGACCATCGGGGGGGGAGACGACTCCTTCAACACCTTCTTCAGCGAGACTGGAGCTGGGAAACACGTTCCCAGAGCCGTGTTTGTGGACCTGGAGCCTACGGTCATCGGTACGGTCGTTATTTTCAAATGCAAAGGTGCACTGTAGGTTAAACAGAAGTTGAGAGCTCCTGATTATATCCTTTCTGTTTTTTGTTTACAGATGAAGTCCGCACAGGAACCTACCGGCAGCTCTTCCACCCGGAGCAGCTGATCACTGGAAAGGAAGATGCAGCCAA